CGATCGGTGACTCATTTCTTTGGTTGACATTTGTGCCTCAGTCTATTCAATCATGTTATTTCTTAAAGTCAAAGTTACGAGGATCTGAACTTGAGCTGTGAGGTTGTGAATGTGACTAGCTGCTGGATACATTCCTCTTAGCTGGACTGTCACTCTGTCAGGCCAGCCGCCCAAACGTGGCGGTGGTCGGCGGCATGCAGCCTGTCACGCGCTGCGGCTGCAAAAGAACTACGCACGCCCAGCGCCCAGCCGTCCTTGTTATGTCCAGCGAGCCATCTGTGAGCTGTGCCATCGGAGATCGGTGACCAAGTCCTGCACTGCACGCGTGCGGTGTCACGTTGACATCTGAGCTGCTAAGCTAGTAATATACCTTTTTTTTGCGGGGTCTAAGCTAGTATACTTTACAAAGGAAGATTATGGCAAAAAGAAAAGTAGCCCGTGAAAACATTTCACTCAGGAGCATCAATCATTTGAATGTCCTAATTTGGTCATGCGACTGCTTTAAAAAAACAATTGCTCACTTTGATGTCCCAGGCAATGAAAAAGGCACTCTTATATATATATATAAAAGGGCACTAATCTGTGCCGGCGCACCGTCCCAACCGTTCGGCCGGTCGCGTCAGGGCCGTTGAATTTGAGCCGCGTGGGCCATTGGATCTGGCGGAAAAAAGGATTTGCCCCGCAGCTTCTTCCTCTCGCTGAAATCACATCTCCCACTCGGTGCGCGCATCCTCTCCCCTCTGGTGGCTGACCTCATCGCCGGTCCCCATCCCTGCCGGCCGTCCTCGTCGCCGGTCCCCATCCACGCCGGCCGTCCTCGTCACCTATCCCCACCTTCGCCGTCCGTCCTCGTCGCCGCCTTGACCCATGAAACAGCTGCACCTGCGATTGTAGCTCTCGACAACGACGGGTGAAGCTCAGGTTGCAGCTCCGCCGCCGCCCCTCGCCGCAGCCCTGTCGCCATGGCCACACCCAACCATTCCTTTCTCCTTCATCATCCATGTGCAGATATATTTTGCTTCAACCATGGTTCATTTTTGCTACGACCGGTGACATGAATCGCTACAACCATTCTTGTTGACAGTCACGGCGGCGACCACGATTTGCTTCAACCTTCGTCGGGTTTTGCCGGGAGTAGCAAGACGTGGCACCGGTTGTTAGCTTTTCCCGCTGTCAATTGCAGCAAAAAATCGCCTGCAGCTCTTACCGATGAGGGTCGCAGCACCGACAAAGGAGTGCCGCCATTGCATCAACGGTGAGGTGCCAGTTCTAGCTATTTGTCGCCGGGTTGAAGCTTTTCAAAAGTAGGGTTGAAGCTTTTCATGTCAACCATTGCAACTTTTTCATTGTGTACTTGCGGGTTGAAGCTTCCTATAAAGCCAGTTGAAGCTTTTTATAAAACCGGTTGAAGCTTTCCAAAATGATGGCTGTAGATTTTTTTTTTATTTCATAGTGGTGGGTTGAAACTTCTCTACTCCACCGTTTGAAGCTTTTTTAAATATGGGTTGAAGCTTTCACATGAACTATTGAAGCTTTTTTTAGTTGTACGGGGGTCCGTCGAAGTTTTTTCAAACTATAGTTGAAGCTTTCATATGAACGATTGTAGCTTTTTTCAGTGCATGGTGTCTTGTTGAAGCTTTATATACCGCTGGTTGAATCTTTCGAATCGAACGGTTGTAGCTTTTTTGGTCGTCGGTTGCAACATCGGTGGAGGAGCAAAATGCTTTCAATTTCGTTTGGAAGAAGATGGTTGCAGCAGTGGGGAGAGGAGGTCGCGCCGCCGTGCTGGTAGCTTCTCCGGTGGACGGTTCTAGCAACTCTCGGATGGCTTATCCATGGCGGCTTTCAACTCCGGTCGCCGGGGCGGAAGGAACCTGCAGCGGCGGGCAATGGAAAAAAGTGGGCATGGCGCTGACGTTGAAGGTATGGACCTGCACGGGATTGGGGCTAGCTGGCTGTGAGATTTGAAGGAGGAAGAGGAGGGGCATGGCCACCCCCATGCGTGGACACGGCTAAGAGAAAATTTAGGAGGGAGAAGGGGATCGGGAGGACGAAGGTAGCGAGGAAGAAGATAAGGCAGGGGCTGGTGGGTCACGCGAGGCGTACGATGGCCTCGATCGCGTGGCTCGCGCCGGACTAGCTGGAAGTTTTGGCCGGTGCGCCGCGTAGAAACGTTTCCCTATATAGAAACATATAGTTGCACAACAAGGAAAGGAAAGGAAGAAGGCGGAGAGGCTGAATTCCTTGGCAAGAAAAAAGATCGTGTCGCCTGCGTCCCTCTCGCGAACGGCGTTGATAGCCGCCCCACCCATGGGCATCTCCCTTCCTTCCCCTCTCCTTGCCGCCACCAGAGGGCGCTGCCTGGGGCAAAATTTCGTATTTTGACCCTTTTCTGAAAGTTAATCGAGATCTGACCTTAGTTTGTAAAAATTTCAGGATCTGACCCTTTTGCTACTATCAAGGTTCATAGCGGTAGGATGTAACAGCCTACCGCCAGGGACCTTGGCGGTAGGAAACACCCCTACCGCCAAACAAGCTGGCGGTAGCCTAATACAACCCTACCGCCAAAGTGCCCAGCGATATGTGCGAGCATGCACTGTGTTCCATACTTAGGAAAAATTTCTGGTAGGGTGTGCAACCCTGCCGCCAGGGACCTTGGCGGTAGGCTATTAAACCCTACCGTCATGGACCATGGCGGCAAGAAAGGGTCAGATCCCAAAATTTCTGCAAGGCAGAGTCACATCTCGATCAAGTTTCTAAAAATGGTTTAAACATGAAATTTAGCAACCGTCGGGCGAAGCCCGGTCAGCGTTGGCGGCGGCGGGGTTCCTACTCCCTCCCTGGTGCGCAGCAGCAGTGCGACATGCGGTGGCGTGTCAGGGGTGCGACGCTGGCGCAGGGCGTAGCGGCTGGGATGCACACATCATGGCAATCAACATGCGGCCCAGATGTGCCATGGGACGAGGCGCTTCCGGCACGGACGCTCCACACCACCCCTTCCACCCTCATCTCAAAGCAGCCACCACCGACGCACCTCCAGCCGCGGCCATGGCGGGCCGAGCCCGCCACCCCACACGAGCCAGCCAGATCAAGTTGCGTGCCCACAAAGCGGCCCGAGCGCCACCATCCTCGGAGCCAGCGGGCTCCTCCGATGGTGGCTAGGTCAGAAGGAGAGGGAGGGGGAGGTAGGCGGCGACGCTGAGAGTTTCCGCGTGTCGCCGAGGAGGGCAACTCGGGGGGCGAGAAAGTTGATGATATTCAATAATATTCGGGCGGATGCGAGCACGCAGGGAGTGTAGAATCAGTCACCGTTGATTTACTTGTCATAACTTCTTATCAAACTATAAGGTAAATAATGGTCAAGATCTTATAAACATTTATTTACACAATTACATAAATATAGGTAGATAAATCACGAGGTAAAGTACTAGAATATTTAAATCTTGTTGCCTCGTACGGGTATTGTCCTAGTAAACGAAAACATGAACACGCGGTTTAGTAAAATGGATAGCATCCGTTTCCACGTGACACCCAAACGTGAATATCCGAATTGAAATTAAATTCAAGTGCTATATAACTGGATTTGGAATCATATCAAATGAATCAAACTAAATTCTTGGGAGCAAAACGAGGCGTAAAAAACATCAATCTTTCAGCCCCAAGAATAAATCGAGCAGAGCTGCAGTTTATGCATTCAGTCACACCAGAGCATTTGGGCCTCACGCGCCCGGCCTGGGGCCTCGAGGCGCAGTCCATGGACGAGATCCTCGGGCGAAGGGCAACACCTATAGACCAGTCGAGCTCTCGGAGGAAGGCGCCGCACTCCCTGCACTGGTCACCCATGACGGCGTGGACCGTGCTGTCCGCCACGAGCACCAATAGACGCGCGTGCATCTCCACGCGCACGTGACCGCCGTGGCCACGAGTCGTGCTGGATGTGGCGCGCGGAGGGTGCCGTCCACGGTCCATGCCCGGGGACGACGGTGGCTGTCCATGGCGAGCTTGGCGAGTTGAGCGAGTTCGGACAGTGGCGTCCTTCTCTGTGCATGCAGCAGTAGCAGCAGCAACAGCCGGGCGCGCAACTGCTAGAGCACTCACGCACACAAACACAACACATGCACAGAGCACGCACTCACGCCCAGGTGCTAGAGCATGCACCCACACAGCGCACGCAGGCACTCACACACACGCGCACGCCAAGGCACACGTCATGCACGCCCAGGTGCTAGATCACGCACGCACACAACACACACACTCACACAGAGCACTCACGCACACACAAGCACGCCCACGCACACATCATCCGCTGGCCGTCCGCCTCGAGGCGTCGTCGTCCGTCCGGCTTCTGCTCCTCTCCCCAAGCAGGTGCTCCACGAGCAGACCGGTGGCTGTATGTCGAGCCCAGCCGCCGCGCGCTACCTCGCCGTCGCCTCATCCGCGCCCGCCCCAGCACCGTGCTTGGAGAGGCCCAGGTTTTCCGGGCTGGGTGAGCAACAAGGCCGGCGGGGGCAGAGCCACGGCCACCTCCGCCGGAGCTCCATCTCCGCCTCAGGTCTTCCCGCGTGCTCGGTGAGAGATGTACCCCGTTGGGATGGACTGAGTAGGGCAGGGGCAGTTTGGACATTTTACAATGGGCCCATCCTGCCAGAGGCAAATCGTCAAGTTTCTGTCAAAGATGTGGCAAAAGATCAATGCCAATGTAAACAAGGGCACGGCAAAGGTGGGGAGTTGGATAATCACTGGAGAAAATTATTTAACTCTCTGCACCACTGGCGCCGACGGAACAGAATCACCACGTTCAGGTAGTTTCTTTTATTATTTATATAATCTCTAGCTTTTTCCAATAACAGTTGCAACCAATCAATCAAGAATTCAAGATCCATTCATCCAGACATGCATGGCTAGCTTAGCTAACTTCCTCCCCGACAAGATGTGTCCGTCCACCGAAGAAATGGACGACGGACGGACGGACGGACTATATATCTATCTCGGACAGACTCTCAATGCTGCTGCTGGTCGGCGTCGGAGAGCATCATCATCCTGACGAACTCGTCGAAGTTGACGAGGCCGTCGCCGTCGAGGTCGGCCTCCTGGATCATCCCGTCCACCTCCTCGTCGGTGAGCTTCTCGCCGAGGCTGATCATGACGTGGCGCAGCTCGGCCTTGGAGATGTGGCCGTCGTGGTCCTTGTCGAACACCCTGAAGGCCTCCCGGAGCTCCTCCTCGGGGTCGGCGGCGTCCGCGGCGTCCGCGTCGGCGTCGGCCTTGCGGGACATGAGCGCCAGGAACTCGGCGAACTCGATGGTGCCGTTGCCGTCGGCGTCCACGTCGCGCACCATGTCCCGCAGCTCCTCGGGCGTCGGGGACTGGCCCAGGGAGCGGATGACCGTGGACAGCTCCTCCGCCGTGATGCAGCCGTCGCCGTCCTTGTCGAAGAAGGCGAAGGCCTCCCGGAACTCGCTCATCTGCTCCGAGCTGATCGCTGCTGCGGCACCGGCGCCGGCCATCCTGCTACCTCTTCTTCGATGCTTGCACGGAGATGGCTATGGATTGGTCGATGTGGGTGGGTGGGTAGGAGAAGGAATGAAGCTGAAGGTGCGATTAACTTGGATGTGTTCAGAGGATTGTGAGGTGGTGGTTTATATAGGAGGCGGATGGGAAGCAGAGGCAGGAACGGTCATGTCGGAGATCTGAACGCCGGAGGGAGAAGCTGTGTGGCTGCCGTTGACTCGTCTGTCACACACGCGCACGCATTAATTCCAGTAATCCCGTCTTCAATCCTAGGCCAAGCCAAGTCAAAGGAGATGGGTCGATGCAGATCAGCGCCCCACCGCACGCACGCACGCGTTCCCAAAGTGCAAAATCTAAACAGTTTAGAAAAGGAGGAAGATGGATTCTTCTGAAATCGCAAAGGCAAAATGCTTGCAATTTGAATCGAATACTCCTCCTTTGCGGACTACATCTGCATGCTCTTTTTTTCATTTGAAGATTTTCTATAGTCTAGTTGAAGTCGTGATCTATGCTGGAGTAGTAAACTGGTGGCGGCACGGGGCGCACCGCCCGTGACGTGGTTTTGTTAATCTCGGGGACGCGTCCGTCCAGCGCCATGGGCGGCCCGGGCGTAGCTGTGAACAGCTGGACAGGTCGGGGCTGCGGGCGACACACGGCTCGGTCGGTGCGGTGTCCGCTTCCGCCCACGCAAACACGGATTCGCATCCTCTGCACTGTCCTGCTGCACTTCCTGGCCCAAACCAGTGTTCCTACTTAACAATAATAGGTTCATATAATTTGGCAAGTGTACGTACGCACACCATAATTCCCAGAGATTTCAGAATGTCTGGTCTGGTTACACGACCAGCTCCAAGTTCACATGCATATTGTATCGGCACGGTGGCACAGAGCACAGTATTATTCTGAGGCCTGTCTGGGGAACACGGGAATAGAATTGTAGTAGAATTGTAGTGCTGCGTGTTTCTCTGGACGGCGACACTTTTGCTACGCGACACCTAACATGTTTGAACCGGCAGTGACAAGACTGGGATGCGAAGATTAGTACGTACTCCAGCGCCTACGCGGTGTCGATGAACCGCAAACCACCAGCGCTGGCACCAGTGGTCAAACCATTGCTTCCACTTTTACTACTCCATGAGCGAATATCCCTGACGCCTTTGATCTTCAGTTTAGCTTTTTACCGGAAAAATGTTGTGAGCGAACGTTCGGCGAGAGGGCTTGCAGCGCGACCATGTTGCATGCCGTTCGATCGGCGTCGGCGGCCTCATGCGTACGGTCACGATGCAAGCGAGAGAGAAGAGTGAATGTGGACTGAAGCAGCGAGCCAGCGTCGCGCACAACGCCGTCGCACTATGAACATGTCATTGTTGTCACCGGCTTTTGCATCGCTTTTATGAATAAAGCAATCGACAATATCCATACAACGATAGCAAAATCTACTGAAGCATCAGCACAGATACGCCAAAAAAAGAATAGGAGAAAGATAGAAAAAAGATCACCAAATTGGCCACGTCGCCAGGGGGCTCGCATCGAAGAGAGGCGAGCAGTGACATGTAGCGTATCCAACATCTGCTCCAGTCGGTCGCAGTACCGCTGCCTAGGCAGCGGGTGCCCGTGTTATAAAAACGCAAGAAATTTGAAGGAGTCAGAGGCCCATCTAAAGAAGACCGGCTTGATCAAAAAGTCACTTTGGAACCCAGGTGCATTGGAGCCCTATTTTTTGAACTGTGCCAAAATGCTATTTTGAAGTTATAAAAAATTCTGAAAACAAATCAATATGTTCATATGAATCTATATTACACATGTGCAAATTTTGATGCTGAAATAAGTAACCACGTGAGTTACACAAAAATGACAAAATCGTGATTTTGGAAAGATGAACAGTGCATGCCTTATTCACTATTTGGAAATCACCATTTTGTCATTTTTGTATAGGTTGCATATTTACTTATTTCATCACCAAACTTTACACATGTGTAATATACATCCATATGATCATGTAGAATTTTTCTCAGAATTCTTTGAAACCTTAAATGTGATTTTCATAGTATTTAAAATAAGGTCCTCCAATACACCCGGGTTCCAAAAATCCACTCTCCCCGCTCGATCATCACCTTCAATGTACGAAGTCCAAAACTTTAGGGTGACTTCAACGCATGAAAATGGACATGGTATCCATCCATGGACTGTTTCGGACCAGTCCGCAGACATGGATACAAGAGTCGGCCATCCAACCGCATCCCTTGAACGTTTGCTTGGGTTCGACCATGCATAACGCCCTATCAAGGTTGTTCATAGTTTGTTCATAGTTTTTGAACGCATGTTCCTCGTAATCTGCTTCCTTCTTGGCTGCCGCCTTTTCCGCCATCTCCAATTCCCCTTCAAGCACTTCAACAACTTAAGATGGATGGCTTGCACGATCATCCTTGCGGGCTCATCCAAATGCTCCATTTTCAAGGTCAGTATATTCGAATTCTCTGAATCGGTCGCGATTTCAACCTTCTTCTCTTCGAGCATAGTCTTCTTCTCGGTCACTGCCATCAACATGTTAAACCACTCGGCCTTTTTTCCCTCAACGTCAGAGCGTTTGATAAATGCTTCATCCTTCTTTGCGAAGATGTCTTCGAATCTCTCCGTCATCTTGGTCGCTGCTCCTTCTCTCTTCTTCTCCTCCTCTCATTTCTTTCCCCAAAACCCTTCTCTAACCTTCTCGAACGGTTCTTTTGTTGGTCCAGTTGAATCACCCTCTTCTCCCTCTGTGCTGATGCCGACGCACTTGACGGTGTTGACAATGAATAAATCCCACTTGGGTTACCTACTCTATTTCAACCAAGAATGCATGAGGACGAAGTTCCTCTTCTCCACCTTCAAGAACAAGTTATACACATGGGAAGGCTACAAAGAAAAACATCATACCAAGTTGCATATTTGGCTAAATGACCAACGCATAGAGCATATATGGCCAAATGACCAATACATACATCATATCTGGCCAAGTGAGCAACACATAAAACAGCTTACTTGTTCGGTGGTTTGCAAACCACTTGGCCATCGACCGATTAGTTGCTTCAAATGGTTGCAATTCTTGGGCACGGCCTCTTGGATGGCATACCATCGATGGCTGAGCAACTTTGTCCTACGATTACGGATGAGTTTGTCGCGGTAGGAATCGAAATGTTTGTGCTCATGTAACCAAATATGAATGTTGGCCCAAAATGTTGCGTCTTTTTGCTCCATGTGATGGATCATATCGATGCCAGTGGACAACCACGCGTCGCATAACAACTTGTCCCCTGGCATGTTGAATCTTTCCTGATCAAGGTCGTCGTCACTGTCCTGCTCCTACTGGATGGTGTATGAATCCGGCTAGGCGGTGTACGTGCCCTGCTGCGTCCCCAGCAGGGTGTACGTGTTGGGATATGTGTACATTTCCGGCTGCTTGGAGTGCACCTCTAGCTCCGAGTCATCCACAAGTCCATTTTCGAAGCAGCCTCCGCCTCCCCCGCTGTCGTGGACCATCTCCATCATTTCCATATCCACGTGTCATACGACATCTCTCTCGGCTGAGACATACCAGCGAACAAAGAGCGGGCACCGAGCTACTTCACCCCCGACGTCCGCGACCGGACAAGTTGCAATGATGTCGACTCGGAGAAAAGGAGTGGCACAATGTAGACATCGACACAATAAGGCACGTGCCCAGCAGCGGATGTCAAGCACTGGCGGCGTGGAAGTAGGGCAGCTTGTATTGGTCTGGCTAGGACGACGACGGCAGAAGTGCCCCGATTCCCAGGCCCACTTGCCGCCTGCACCAAGCCCGCCCCATGCCCACCTACCACTGGCACATCAGCCGCCACACCCTCGCCCTTCTTTTTGAGCGGCACCGCCTCCTTTGCCTTCTGTTTGACGGGGCGGACTTGCCGAGTCGCCGAGTTGATCTTTCGGGCGTTTGCCTTCACCGGATCCTCCACCACCGTCGTCTCTAGCAGCTTTTCGTACAAGTCCATACGTCGGTTGCAGTGGTTGGGGTCTAGGATAGAGACCGGATGAGAATGTACATGAAAGAGCCATTGCTTTGATATTTTTTTTTGAGACAAGACTGCTTTGATCGTGTGGGTTGTTTTGTTTGCGACTAATGTTGCCTTAGATTACCACACCTAGGATTAAATAAGTTTGATCAACTTATGTGCGTGTTTGGTTCAAGATTAGACAAGATGCTTTTGCCACACTGGGGCACCACATTACATACACTTAAAAATGTGGCAGGATACTTTTAGGATTTAGACTTGTCAACTTGTGGCTTTCATTTTATTGTACTAATCTTAAACAAATTTGTTGAAAATACATGGTAAGGTGTGGCATTACAAGGCCTGGAACGAAACATATCCTATAACTGTAGAAACGTAGAAATCGGACGATGCAGAGTAAAAAAACGCTAGTGCGGGTACTCTCACATTTTGTAGAGTGAATTTGTTTTAGAGAAGATGTCATGGCTAGCTCTACTGAATTTCCAGCAGCATTACAACGTCCACAGGCTTATTGATCAAAATGACTGGAGGTCCATCCGTCCAAATAAGCGAAATCGTATTGCAATAACAGTAATTAGCTTACATGCATCGCTTGAGTAGCAGAACGAAAATAATATTTAAATTTAACCTTCCCAATTTAAAAAGTTACACCCACATTTATACTCCAGAATATATTCTGGTAAAAATGCCGATACCGCATCCCACCATCTTGTTTGCCGAGGACAGGATGACATTTATGTAATTGGATTCTGCCTTCACTCGTTTAAACCCTAAGAGTTTGCAAGAGTTAGACCATCATGCATAACCATTGTCTCTATTGTAATTGTTGGAAATATTAGTACTTTTTTATTAATCTAATGCACGAGTAGATAATAAACATGGCAATCACTGTACTCATTCCCGCAACCTGCGACGCGTGAGCCCTGATGAGATGAGGCGGCGGAAGGAGCGCGCATGTACCACTCCTC